CGCGCGCGCACGTAGTGTGTGTGTGTGTGTGGTGTGTGGTGTGTGTGTGTGTGTGTGTGTACAAAGAACATTTTTTTAAGTCTACAAGAATTCGCAATGAAAAATTTAAAATAATTTTTAGATATCTATCAAGAGTCCAATAAATATATCTCTCAGAAGTATATAGGTCTCTAAATTATTATACAAAATTAAACGAAATCATATTGTCAAAATACTTTTTTTATTTCGATTAATTTTGTAGATTTATCTTTAACATATTAGCAGAAATATCAGAGGTCTCGAAATTAAATCATCCCTATATTTCATTCGTCATTATTTCATTAAAATAAGTGATTAAAAATCTCATTTAATGTTTTTTTATTCTATTCTGTATGATTTTTAGTTACAAGAAGTAGAATTTAATCCATCTATCGACAGAGTCACGTACTACTCGCGGGTAAGTGATTCTTTTCAAACTTTACGAATAGAAAAAGATTTCTTTCAACTCAAAGAGCAACTTCGATCTAATTCTACAGAAGTCAAAATGTATATTTCTATAAAATCTTTATTGAATTACTGGAAAGGAATTTTTTTGAGTTTATAAAAGTCATTCGTGCTGTTAGGTAATCATTAAAAATAAAATTTATTTTTATTTTCTAATATTAGAATATAAATATTATGACTAGTATTATATAGAATAGTAAATATGATACTAGAATTTATTTTAATATTTGATACATGCTATATAATATTGAATTACCAAATTATATAACATAAATATGTTTACATAAATTACGTATATGTAATGTATATACAATATAAATATTAACTATTCGTTAAATTATCGAAATGTTACTTAAAAATCATCGACTTTAGATAAATTTTCGTGGTTATCGTTGGATATCTAGAAGCTTGAAGATATTGAAGAATATTAATTTTATCAACTGTTGATATACACTTTTCGACAACATAAAATGATATAATATAATATAATATTGAATTATTAATTTATTATTATATTGATACTTTATAAATAGATATTTATATTTATAATGCAATGATATTATAAATAATTAAATACATATAATAACAATACAGATGTAACATTATATTAATTATGATGTTATATAATATATAATAAGTATATAAAAAGTATTATGATAATATAATAATCAGAATAAATCATAAAATTAAAATATTATATTATAAACTGTCTAGATTTTAGTCATAAAAACTTTCACAAGATTCGGTCTTTCATAGTACCTTGACAGTGGCTGGCTTGAAAGAGAAATGGCGTTCAAAGGACCAACCACCGGGATTTCGTCGGCGAATAAACATGGTCACGCGACTCCGCTACTCGATATAGCGTTGGTCGACGTGCGCCGCCTTATTGTGCAAATAATTGAAACACTAATCTCCTTTGCTCTCCTGTTGACAGTCAGAACGTGATCGGACGTGGCGCGATGACCCGACAGTGCTATTTAAGAGTGCGTGATCGAGGGGAGGCGACCCCGAAACGGGATGTGTGCCGCAAAAATGAAAGTGCAAAAGCATCCACCCCGCGAGAATACACGTGACTCCAATACACATTTACTTTAAACAATCGTCTACGATATTTGCTGGTAACAAAAGATATATTTTAGATCGCAGTTGAAAAAGCAAGAGCCGCTCACGTGACTCCAAAGTTGGAGGATTAAAGGATCAGTTGTGCAAAAGACAAGAGTTTATGAGTTTTAGAAGATAAAAATACAAAGATTGTGAGATATTAAAAAATATAGAAAAGGAACAAATAGAATAGAATAAAATATATAAAATAAAATTCTTTGATTTTACGAAAAAATTCAGTGATCAAAGTTTACTTATTTACATCGAATGATTCTAAGGGAAATTCTGCGAATCCAAATGTATATAATTCAAAATATTTCGCGCGTACGACTTAAAGTGAATTGATTTTATTTTAAAATAAAAAAAGATTTAGAACAAAAATAATTACCGGATTCTTATTATTTTTAAATTCTATAAAAACTAGCAAAATTTTAAAGCGATCTCATTTTAAAGTAAAATTGATACATTCTAAAATCAATATTTTGTTGTAAAATATATTTCTTTTTAAAATTTTAATATTTATCAATTTTCTAGTTTGCAATATAAAAGATTTAACAACTAACAGGGATAAATGTAGATATCATATAATATTATATTTAAATTGGCCACAAGCCGACATGATTTTTGTGACGATTCAAATCTATAAGCTGAGCATACGTGGAACAAATAACATCTTTTGGAAAATATTTTGAACGACTACCTACGGGGGATAATGAGTGGGGAAATTAGTGGTGTGTGAGTGTACCAAGAGGATGTACCACCTGTGCGTGCTGCCTCTGTCACAACGGGAACAGTACCCACTCAACGGCGAGATAAAGAGGGAAAGAAGGGAAGTCCCTTCGTCCTTTGCGACTCGTCACTCCTCCCACTCTCTTATTCCTCGAACGAAAAAGGATCTATGCGATCTGGTACAAAGGTAGTTCACGGATGTATTCAACCAACGTAGATCCTCGATAAAACATTGAATGCTTCGTCCATTCAAAACCTATCCGTCCCACCGCCCCTCTTCAACAGCCCGATTCTACGTCCTTCTTCAGTGGACTCCTTGGCACGCACGCCCACAAAACGAAGTGAAAATGTCGTCAAATCTCGATCCGGACGGATCTCCGACTAACGGCTATGCGCATAGCTCAAGATCCGATCTAACTCCGCTGCTGCGTTGTATAAAGACGAGTGAATTTCGATGACGGTTCTTCGAAACACAATGACGTCGAACAAATTTGTAGTTTGTAATTCGGAAAATATTGAAGCTACATTAAAACTGTACTGTTCTAAGCGACTTTAGAACATTCTTCTTCAATCGAAAGAAATTTTTTAATAACGTTGTTCAATACTCGAGGGATTTTATACAACATTACAACATTACATTATTCGATAGCTACATAAATTAATGACCGTATAAAAATTTTAAAAACTGATAGCTTTAAAAGAAGCTATAAACATTATGTTCAGTTATATGCGATATATATCTTTTTATCCAATTACCACTTTAGTTACATTGTATTAAAATTCATTAATTGCATTATAAAAATATTTTATAAAGCTTTAAGGTAACATCGTGTAGAAACATTGCACTTGCCTCGGCGAAGAAATCTGAACTGTACAATTAAGTTTGCACCGCTAGCAAAGGCTACTACAATTGGCCGCAATAAATCCAACGAGTCCGCGACAGCGAATAAATATAAGGCATTAAATAGTGGCTCTGGAATTTAGTTGTTTCCCGATTCGCGTATGCAAAGGCGATAATAAACATTTACGCTTGGTCCTTCGTAATTGTTTCGGCAATTAAAATCGCACGCTCGGCAATTAAAATCGCGCGATGAGATAAGAACTTCCATTGCAATATTGTAACGCATACTCCGACACTCTCTAATTAAGT